ACTGCAGATGCTTACTTCTTAATAAAGAGGACGATGAAGAATGATAGTTTTGGATTAACTCCCAGCAGTTGGCAATATGACAATTTTCAGGCCTTGGAATGATTCGATATAACATTTAACTTCTTTTAAAAAATCATTTCACTCCCAAGAAAAGCTATAAAGCCACTAGGATTCAAGGGGTTATTGAGTGTTAGAGAATATGACAAAAACTACTATTAAGGAGAGAAGACAATAAAAGAACCGGAATTAAGAAGACAGTAGATAACGACTGACATTGCAATTACATTTTCGAAGATCAAAGTTGGCTGGAACGGAAGAAGCCGGAAGAGAAATCCACAAGCGAGAAAGGCAAGAGAAGAAACGGTATCGATTACATTGCAGATCCCTCTTTGGATTTTGTCGATAACCTCGCGATGAACAGCAGGGGTACCATTTTATCTCCTAAAAATTGTTACACTATTTACATTATCCGGACTATAGTCTTCATCTTTGTCGCCATATTTATTACGTTTCGGCCGTTGTACGCTCTGGTGGTTGGAATGCCGAAATGAAACCTTTATTTTGCTCACTGGAGCAGACTGTTCTAGTTCCACGTAACATGTTTAATGGATGTCAGTAATCAGTTATCTCCTGTTAAATGTATTGATATATATTTATCTTTTATGGTGTATTGATATTTATATAGAGAGTGTGTTCATATTTATTTATTTATATAGTGTGTTCATATTTATTTATTTATATAGTTTGTCGATATATACCGTATATGCTCGAATATACTGCGAGTTTTTTTCATGATCAGTTATGTTTTAGGATAAATGTATGACTTTACATTGCATTAATCTATAAAAAGCTTATTTTGAAGCAATAATGATTATTTTCTTTCCTGTTTTAAGCTTTATTTTACTTTTGATAACACAGTATCAATATGTATGGAAAATGGCAGGGCAAGAGTATGTTTTCATGGGATTTTTTTAAAGTGTGATATCTGTCATCCGGCATTTTTTCTGTAGTCCGGCATTTTTTCTGTACTCCGGCATATTTCTGTAGTCCGGCAGTGGCCTGGTCCGAAGGGTGACGGATAAAAGATATTTGTGGGCGACAATTCATTCATCGTACCTTGTATTCGTGTAACGTTTATATTTGTAGGCGACAATTCATCCATCGCACCCTGTATTCGTGTAAAGTTTATATTTGTAGGCGACAATTCATCCATCGCACCCTGCATTCGTGTAAAGTTTATATTTGTAGGCGACAATTCATCCATCGCACCCTGTATTCGTGTAACGTGTACATTTGTAGGCGACAATTCATCCATCGTACCCTGTATTCGTGTAAGGTGTATATTTGTAGACCACAATTCATCCCTCGTACCCTGTATTCGTGTAACGTGTATATTTGTAGGCTACAATTCATCCATCGCACCCTGTATTAGTGTAACGTGTATATTTGTAGGCAACAATTCATCCATCGTACCCTGTGTTCGTGTAACGTATATATTTGTATACGACAATTCATCCATCGTACCCTGTATTCGTGTAACGTGTATATTTGTAGGCGACAATTCATCCATCGCACCTTTTGTTCGTGTAACGTGTATATTTGTAGGCGACAATTCATCCATCGTACCCTGTATTCGTGTAACGTGTATATTTGTAGGCGATAATTCATCCATCGTACCCTGTATTCGTGTAATGTGTATATTTGTAGGCGACAATTCACCCATTGTACCCTGTATTCGTGTAATGTGTATATTTGTAGGCGACAATTCATCCGTCGCACCCTGTATTTGTGTAACGTGTATATTTGTAGGCGACAATTCATCCATTGCACCCTGTATTCGTGTAACGTATATATTTGTAGATGACAATTTATCCATCGTACCCTGTATTCGTGTAACGTGTATATTTGTAGGCGATAATTCATCCATTGTACCCTGTATTCGTGTAACGTGTATATTTGTAGGCGATAATTCATCCATCGTACCCTGTATTCGTGTAATGTGTATATTTGTAGGCGACAATTCACCCATTGTACCCTGTATTCGTGTAATGTGTATATTTGTAGGCGACAATTCATCCGTCGCACCCTGTATTTGTGTAACGTGTATATTTGTAGGCGACAATTCATCCATTGCACCCTGTATTCGTGTAACGTATATATTTGTAGACGACAATTCATCCATCGTACCCTGTATTCGTGTAACGTGTATATTTGTAGGCGATAATTCACCCATTGTACCCTGTATTCGTGTAACGTGTATATTTGTCGACGACTTGAATATGTTTGTGTAATGCGCATATTTCTGTACGACTTGCATATCATCTGACAACTAAACTCCCCAGAATGCACTTCCTTTGATTACTTATTATGTATGAAGTGCAGTTGAGCGATAGACTAACCATCAAACCCCTTTGTAACACTGAAGCTAAACTGAAGACTAAGATTATGGCAGCATTCATCAACTTAAAGAAAGACACCGTCCAGAAGAGATTCAGGAGGTTCCGACATCGTCGGGATGCTGTGGTTGAAGCCAACATCGATTGTATTAAATAAATTAGCTCTTTATTATTTCAAGATATTTTGTGTAAATTTGGTAAATATATCTGTTAAAATGAGATATCAGTGTTATCTTCATTTTTCTCAATTCAGACGACAGTTTATCCATCGCACCTGTATGTGCATATATATATATATATATATATATATATATATATATATATATATATGAACTGATCCAGTCTTTCCTATCAAATCGTAAAATGAATGTTATCCTGAAGAGATTCTTCCGTACTAAGGTTTGTGTCCCCCAGAGTTTCATCCTTGGATCTAATCTGATTTTAATTTTCATTAATGACCTTCCCGATGACACCTACTCTGCACTTGACATCTACATCTGATGACGCAACCATTTATTCCCGCCTCGATAGTAAGGATGATCAATCCGACAAGGTCAAAACTGCATCCGATGTCCAAAACGACCTCAATCCATCGTTAACTGGAGCAAACTATGGCTTGTTAATTTTAACACCTCCAAATTTAAACTACTCTCCATTAATCATTTGAGAGACTCCTCTCGGCCTTTCATCGGTAAATTGACTCATTGCGCCATCTCTGGCTAACTTTCTCAGCTGACATGAATTGGAAAGACTATATTGAATACATTGCTAGTGTCGTGCGAGACATGTTTTTTCTCTCTAGAATCGATCTTACATAACTGTACCATATCTATTCTTTCAGGCTTAGAATATTGCTGCCACCTATGGTCCGGTTCCCGTGTTATTTACCTTGAAATCCTTGATAAGATCCAAAGAAGAATCAGCAATATTATTGGTCCTGATCTGGTGGCTCGGTTACAGTCACATTCCCACCTCTGTAAGGTTGCCTATCAGTGTCTTTTCTATAATTACTTTCATGTTAATTTTTCAGACGAGGTCTTCACTATAATACGTAAACTTTTTTAACGTAAGCACAGTACTAGACTGGTGGCGAGATCTCATCAACTTACAGTTGAGCTTGCTAGATGTAATTGTAATTTCTATGCTAACCGCGTTTCCATTTTTTAATTATGTTTTTTTTTTTTTTTGCACTTCTTGCTTGTGGAAATCCCTTCTGACTCCATGTTTTTTACAGACATCTTTAATTTGCATAAATTTAAATGCAATGTCAATTGCTATCCACTGTCCTCCTGATTACTCTTTTCTCTCTTTCCACAACATTATTGTTTTTGTTCTTAATTCTTACACACTCTGTAAAGTATTGTGTTTTAGTGGCTTTACTGTCTTGGATGGGATGATCCCGATTTAAAAATTAAAATGCACGCATTAGTGCGCATTAGTTGGTATGGCGTTTGCTTCCTATCGTAACTGTTCGGGTTTCAATTCTCGGTAGTGGATGCGCACTGCTGATGAGTCCCAAATATAGGACGAAACGGCTGTCCAGTGCTTTCTGCATTCTGTTGAGGTTTCTTCTAGACTCGATGAATTAATTATGATATATATATATATATATATATATATATATATATATATGTGTGTGTATGTATATATTCATTAAATATGGCACTCAATGAAGATTTAATTTTTTATTTAGTTTTTCCAACATCCTTAGGTTTTATCGTTTTCTACTGCGTACCCTGTTTTTCGATACTATGAGATGTACGACATCCTAGGGCCAATTGACGTGTGCTTGTACCTGGATCGTCTCCCACTGCTCGTTGGGTGTGTTCTTCGTGGTCAGGCGTACGAGCGGAATTCGGTCTTCCTCGATTCATACTTTGTTGTGCTACGGATCCTGTCTCAGCAACGCGACGATAAACAGCAGCAAAAGTTGGATGACTTGGCTACCTTCGGTCTGGAAAACCCTGCAACCCCGAGTCCATTACTATTTGCGTGGCCGTATGTAAAAATCATATCTGCCTGCTCCCCATATGAATATCCTGCCATTGTTAAACGGAACACTTCTTAGTCAACTCACTGCAACGCACGTTAACTGTTGAACACATACTAGCCAAAAATGTACACGAATGACAAATGTAACCTAGACTACATCTACCGTAAACTTTAAACTTCTTTAAACTTCGTAACTCAAAAACGTTGATTACATGAACTTTTGCCCTTGTTTTGGTGTGAGGAACCCGCTCTAAATTTGTAAAAGTATTTTTGATACACCCTGCATATCTGTTTATAACTAGCGTTTTTCGCTTGAAATATTTTGGGAAAATATGTTCTCAATTGATGCCAATTTGTTAGAACAATTTTTCTCCCCGTTTATATATTAGATGAGAGTATATAACACGCAGGCAGACAGACAGAGAGAGAGAGAGAGAGAGAGAGAGAGAAAGAGAGGAGAGAAATTGAGAGAGGGAGAGAGGAGAGAGATGCACAAAATGACTGCGTACATGCACATACTGACACTGAAGGAATCATGGCCACTAACATACGGCAAGATCGACAGACGGAGTGAGGAACACTGACGCATAAATAAACAAGTTTTCTTTTACAATGAACAATAGTTCATTCGTATACGGTGTCATTGTTTGGCGTTAGTTTGGCGTTTTTATAAGCAAACACGAATTAAATACGGCCGTGTGAAAATAAATACTGCCACATTCGCGGGGTTCTTAATTTATCCACTTCAATTGAGAACTATCTATCTATCTATCTATCTATCTATCTATCTATCTATCTATCTATCTCATTCTGGTCATATCTATCTATCTATCTATCTATCTATCTATCTATCTATCTATCTATCTTACACTCTTTATCTGTCTATCTATCTGCCTGTCTCATTCTATCTATCTATCTATCTATCTATCTATCTATCTATCTATCTATCTATCTATCTCATTCTATTCATATCTATCTTAGTCTTTTCATATCTATCTTTCTATCTCACCCTCTCACTCTCTCACTCTCTCCCTCTCTGTCACATATCACACTCTTTATCTGTCTATGTATCTATCTATCTATCTATCTATCTATCTATCTATCTATCTATCTCATTCTATTCATATCTATCTCAGTCTTTTCATATCTATCTTTCTATCTCTCTCTCTCTGTCACATATCGCACTCTTTATCTGTCTATCTATCTGCTTGTCTCATTCTATCTATCTATCTATCTATCTATCTATCTATCTATCTATCTATCTATCTATCTATCTATCTATCTCTGTCCCATACTCTTTCTGTATCTCTCTCGATGCCTATCTATCTATCTATCTATCTATCTATCTATCTATCTATCTATCTATCTATCTATCTATCTATCTATCTATCTCACTGTGTTTATTATCTATCTATCTGTAAAGTGGCGTTTCGGTTAGGAAGGACGATTAAATACAGTAAAATCGACCTCGCTAACCGAAACGCTCCTCCGTAGCGAAATCGGTAAAAGCACTTCTGGCTAATTGACGGTTCCGTATAGGTACAGGTTCGATTCCTGTCCGAGGACGCATATTTTCTATGAAGATTTCCCGGACATTCAGGCCGGTAAATATTATTTAATACTGTTTATTATCAACAGAGCATTTACTTAAATATTTGTATCTATAAAAAGAACGTATAAACATAAAAAAATATCTTCATATATAATTGTGTCCTATTTTATACAAATTTCGTTAATTAATATTGAATATATTACAACATACCTAACAAAAAGTCTCACGTTACATTTTTCTCTGACTATAGCTCAATTAGATCTCATTTCACTGACCTACCAAACTCCATCAGCAATATACTCGTTGACACTAGAAATATAATAGTCTCATCCACATGTAAAAGAAAGGCTAAAAATAAAAGAGGCATAAAAAAGAAAAAAAAACACTCAGTAACATCAACAATAATCACAGCAACAATGTGCTGACTGTTTGTAAAATAAAACATTTCTATAACTCTAGATACAAGCATTAAAATATCTATAGATTCAGTTAAAAGCAAAAATAAGATCGTCCTTGATAATGACTGAAAGAATAGCGAAAACGCTCGGACATAGAGAACATTCGGAAAATTTCTACACAATTATGTCCAGAGTAGTAAAATATTATATGAACACAAGTAAAGCTAAATAAAGAAATAATTTAACAACAGTAACTTCTCCGTCGTTTTTAACGAAACAAATATATATATATATATATATATATATATATATATATATATATATATATATATATATATATATGTAAATGTAAGCAAATATATGGATATAGATCCGACAGTATGAAGAAAAAATATACGGAAAAAAAATCCTAATATGCAATTATGCTGCTTTAATGTTAATATGATGTCAACGTCGGACGTTTCGGTCGAGTAGACCATCTTCAGGACATATTCATAAAACATAATTAACATTAGACTATATTCAATTCAACATGAAAAGACGATGGACATAAGAGTAAGACTAATCACAACATTGCCCACGTGACGCCAACGTGATCATATTGAGACGGAACGCTGATCTTGAAACATTTCAGTTATCTGCTTTGATTTTTGTTTGTTCTTTTCCGTATATTTTTCTTCATATATATATATATATATATATATATATATATATATATATATATATATATATATATATGCTTCGTTAAAACGACGGCGAAGTTACTGTTGTTAAATTATTTCTTTATTTAGCTTTCCTGACGATCCGCTTGGGTGAAACCTTGGTAGGTTTGTCTGGCTCTCTAGGTTTGACTAGGTCTGCTCTACTTTTGTATTGAGCACTTTAGGTGAGTTGATTACTCGTATCGGTTTTTTTTTTTTTCTTGGGCTTTGGACCTATATGCTGTACGATTATTTTCGACAGACGTTCATGTTCATAGCTCTTTTTTTCCTTCGAGATTGATTTGACCATTAGCAAATCAAGAAACCGAAAGTTTTACCAAGACGAGTGTAGTTACCTATATATATATATATATATATATATATATATATATATATATATATATATATATATATATATATATATAGTCAAACCTAGAGAGCCAGACAAACCTGCCAAGGTTTCACCTAAGCGGAAAGTACGATTATTTTCGACAGACGTTTATGTTCCTAGCTCTTTTTTTTTTAAAACCTTTTTTCCTTCGAGATTGATTTGACCATTAATAAATCAAGAAACAGAAGACGAGTGTAGTTACCTATATCTATATATATATATATATATATATATATATATATATATATATATTTATGTATGTATATGTATGTATGCAGATGTTTGTAAATGGTCGAATGTGTATGTGCTTTTGTGTATATGCGTATATATCTGTACTTGTAATTATAGGTATGTATATGTACGTATATATATATATATACATATATATATATGTGTGTGTATGTGTGTGTGTAGGTGTATGTGTTGATACCTATCATATGTGACCAAAATTACACAAAAGTATTTTGAAATATTAAAGAATGAATTTATTCAACAAAATCGCTACTGGCTACAATCATGGCCTCCAGACGACTTCGGAATCTCCTGCATCTCTTCTGGACGGTCTCCTTTTTTTTAAGTTAGTGGATGCTGTTTTAATCTTTGTCTTCAGTTCATCTTAAGTGTTACAAAAAGGTTTACTGGTCTTTCGCTCAACAGCGCCCAAACATAATAATCAAGGGTGTTGCAGTATGGGGAGTTATGTGGCCAAATGTAAGGGTTTATGTGATCGTAAAAAGATGTCTGACAGCCACGATTTGAATCTCCTGCTTGTGTGGCATGGCGCGGAGTTGCCATATTTATCACAACGTTTTGGCCGTTGTACGCTCTGACCTTCTTCAGGTGGCTGGAATGTCGAACTGAACCTTTTATTTCGCACAATGGGGTAGATTGTTCTAGTCCTACGTGCCATGGATAACTGAAAACTGACATCCATGGCCCGTGGACCTAGAGCAGTCTACCCCATTGAGCGAAATAAAGGGTTCAGTTCGACATTCCAACCACCTGAAAATGGCTGGAGCGTAAAACGGCCGAAACGTTGTGATAAATATGGCAACAAAGCTGAGGACGATAGTCCACATAATGTAATACCTTATCTCAGAAATATAGACAGATACCGAAATTTCAATATTTCGTACCGAATTTTATGACTTCAGCTAAAATGTATTTTGAATGCAATTGTCTGCCTTCAACTAGAAATAAAATCTATTATTAGTCATTTTGCTTTAAAAAGTACCATTGCTATTTTTTACTATAAAATGGTTACTCTCAGTTAGGTGTCATGTATGATGACTGACAAGGCAGATTTTTTTCCCGCAGTAAGTTGTCGTCCAGTACTATAGACCACCGTCTGTCCTGCTATTATTATATATCTGGTGTTGAAAAGAAGAGGATTCATACCTTTCCCAAGGATAAAGGCAAGACTGGAATTCGAACTCGGCTCTCCTATTCTTTAATGCTAGTTGCTATCCATTACTCCACCATACCTAAACAGACACAGCAACATTTTTTTTTTCTTTTATATAAAAACTAGTATTTTTACTACTTCCATAGTATTTTATTTTTGTTTGGAATGGGGGTTCAATATTTGTCCATAGCTGGGGCACTAACAGCTGCTACCACCGCAAGTCAGAGTCGACCTGGGAGCCACAGCAATTAAGAGGTAGTATCATGCTCCTCAAATCTACTGATCAGAGGCCATGCTGTCGGATGTAGTTTAGGCGGAAAAGCGGGGAAGATAAGGGTTAACCGTAGACTTGAAAAAATTAAGATTGCACCGATATGGGAAGCATCCACTTGGGAGTCGGTTCCAGAGAGCGATGGTCCGTGGCAAGAAAAATATAAACAGAAAGATATTGACAATGGTATATTTTTATCTACAAATGAGGGGAGGGGTATTTTTAATTGTCATTCCCGGAATCTGAAACCAACATAAGCAAATATATATATATATATATATATATATATATATATATATATATATATATATATATATATATATATAATCAATATATCAATATATATATAGAAATCAATATATATGTACACATATCTTTACGAGCAGTTATATACACGTATGCGGTCATACGTTTAATATGCTAGCATGTCCTATTTGTTAGCATTAAACTAGATAGATATGTACTGACATATGAGTTCAAACGCTATATATATATATATATATATATATATATATATATATATATATATATATATATATATATATATATATATATATATATTGAGTATCTGGGTGTGTGTTTCTGTGTGTGTATCGCCCATAAATTGTTTGAACAAAGTCTGGCCGTAGACGCAGGTGCCAAAATTTACATCTGGCTATCTTTGATAATCGTGTGAAATAATGCTTTAGATATCAAGTTGTTTTTTTCCCAGGACATTGAACAATTTGACACTCTGATCTTATTTCATCATTTCTGTTACATCATTAGCTTCAAAAGATTATATATATATATATATATATATATATATATATATATATATATATATATATATATATATATATATATATATATATATATATATATATATATATATATATATATATATATATATATATATATATAATATAATATAATATAATATAAAAGGCTCAAACACTAATATTCCCTTTTTAGAATTTATTACATTGGAATCGTAATCACGATCCAATCCATCAGAACTACAATTTCAAAAAGCTTTATGAATTTGTAGCTCTGATGAATTGGATCGTAATTACGATTCCAATGTAATACATTTTAGTGTTTCAGCCTCTTATATTATATTCTTACTCTGTCCTGAGTTGAGTTCTACCTGGATTCTATCTTCTTGGGAATATATATATATATATATATATATATATATATATATATATATATATATATATATATATATATATATATATATATATGCGTGCCAAATTGTTATCGAGATTTGTTATCAACACGGTGATTTGAGCGTGCCAAATTATTAAAAAAGTGTAAGAATTTAGTGAAAACATGGGCCTTAAAAGCAGTTTAAGTGATGCTGAAAAGAAAACTATCACCTCAGAACTCTCAAAAGGTAAATCTACCCTAGAAATTTCTAAAATGATAGGGAGGTGTCATCAAACAGTGAAAAAGTTCACCGCCAGCCCTACACACTTCTTCAAGTAATTTCAAAATATGGAAAGCACATTCCCTATTAATTTGTTTAAAACTGTGCCTTTGATTGTATCGGTTATTATTTGTTTGATTATCTTATTTATTAGCTTCTTTTGATCATAAACATTCACGTGCAACATTAATAAACGTTTCGTTTGATCAATTCTGGGAATTTTACTAAACCTTTCTATTTGGCACGCTCAAATCACCGTGCTGATAACAAATATGGCGTCAGTTTGTTTACATTGCGCAGATCAGTACG